CAGAAAGGGAGCAAACTTTTACCACCCATGTCGCTGCCACAGTTTTGGGCATTTGTTGCATGACGAGGTGTATAGACATCTGTTTGGGCTTTGTGCCACCATAAAAATTTAAATAAATAAATACATTTTAAATCAATAAATAAAACAGGCAATGTCTGTTTGCAGCTTGATATTCCACCTGCTCCAACTATCTCTCACCAGGTGCAATAACCCCTAATCTCCTCTCTCACACTTACCTCAAGTAATACTAGGCCTCCATTCTCCCCACTGTGAATTACACAGTATATAAACTTTTATTTAAAAAAATAATTACTTTCAAACACTATTGCTCCCCAAACCAGTTTGTGTGTCAATGTGGTTGCCAGCTACCTTATGCTATTGACAAAAATAGAGAAAGAAAATATATTAGTGGTATGACCAAACCTAAATAAAGTATAATGATCACAGCAGATAAGTCAAGACAGCATCATCCGTTTTCTGATGATCAAAACTTACGGGCAAAGTTCCACTTCCAAATATTCTTTAGTCTTGCTATTGAGAAAAAAGGCTTCAACAACTATGAAGAAACAAAAAAACAAAAAAAAACAAAGTGAGCCTTAAAAAAGCCTGTATTTGGGTATAGAATCAAACTCTGGCTGAATCTGGAATATGCACAGACAAACAGGGTGTTAAGTATCATTTGGAAAGGCCTTCAAATAGAAATATGAAGGGAAATCCCTAACATGTTATACCAAGGCAAACACAAAAAATGGGGTACAAGGGTGCTATCTGTGATAAAGACTTGGATAGTTTCCATTTTTACAAGTAATACGAATGCCCTGTACACTCTTTTTTAACCTGATCTGGCTTTGTAGAGCAAGGAAAGATCATTATAAAAGGTGTGATACACTTGCACATTGATACAGTGTTTGTTTTCCTCCTATAGGCCAAATTATAAAACCCACAGGTGAGAATTCTAGGCTTGCATACTGTGTGGTTCAATACTGATCTATTTAGAAGTTGGCAGAATTGGTATTGAAAAAGGAAGATCAGCTAATCTGGTTTGGCTTGTTCTCTGGAAGACTTGCCATTATGGGAGATGCTTTAATGAACAGTGACATATGACATACTCCAACAGGTTTAAATTTTCAATTAAAGTTTTAATTGTTTTTGTTTTATTCTAACCAGTTTCATTTAAAAAAAATCTCTTTCTTATACTGAACATTTTACTTCATAAGTTGCAAACAATGTAAAGTCACACACAAAATCTTTTTTAAATTGTTCTTGTTGAGGGAGCAATTCTGAAAAGAAAAGTCACAGGCACTGGTCAACTCCACTCAGAAACCAAATTCTGTTTGCTTGAAAGACCAAAATGAGAAGTGACTCATTAAATTGTGCATAACTTCAAATTGCGATCATCCCTTATTTTTCTTCTCTGCTTGGTTTGATCATCAGCAAGCTAAAAATCTTGACATTTTATGTTTAGCACCAAAAGCAAATACCACCAATAAACAGGAAGCACCTTTTATTTTTCTCTGAGCTATGGTTTCAACGGTTTGCAGCTCTGAGCAGACATTAGTGCAGATGCATCAATCTTTTTCATATTCCAAAAGTTACCTCTGTAGCTGTGCATAAACATAATATTTATTTACCTTCATAGTTCCAAAGTCCATCAAAAGGAAATCCTGGTTCACCAGGTGGGGCTGGAGGATCAAAGTACAAGGAATTCACTTCCATTATCAGTCCTCCATCACCTGCCTTATATGTGATGATCACTGGCTCATGCATGACCGGTATGCTGTCCCAGGTATTTGTAATCCTGTATTCCAGCTACAGAAAAAGAGAAGTAGTAATAATAATATAAAATGGATAAATGCCAGGTGCCATCCTTCCCCGTCCTTGGGCAGACTATGTCCAGATACTTTTCACTTTCATTCAATTCATTATTTAATTAGATCTTAGAATAATCAACTAAATAAATACATAAATTTGCTATTCTAACAGAACAAATATGTTTACTAAAGCAATAATACAGAATAAGTAAATGGTGCAACAGCAAACTTCTATAAAATTTATCCTCCATAGTCATATAAGGTCACATGACAGTGGAGACAATGCAATTCTTCTGTACAAACAGAATCAGGTATATGAACACTATAGGCACTCCCCCCTCCTTGAGAAGCCAGGTTATTGAAGAATCCACTGCTCCATGGGGTTTTTTTCTTCCTTTCCTGTATGCATGTGGTAGGCCTAAGAGTACAAATGTAGCATCAAGGCTGAGGCAGTGACTGATGCATACTAATCTCATAATGTGCCTCTGCGTGTATGAGAGGAGTATCAGTGGCACTTGTTTAGTTCTCCAAATAAAGTATAAGATACTGTCCTTTCCAAGGTACCATAGTTAATGTTGCTCTCGGTTCCCTTCTCCTAATTTATCAAACTTTTTTTTTCTGGAGATACAAGAGAGAGATAGGAAATGCTGGCTTGTATGACTTAAATAGTACTACCTTGCATGGGACAGACTGGAATCAAAAGCTATAAGGAGGATGGAGAATCTGACTTTCTAGTGCCTGCTAGCATGTAGTTTACTGGATGACAAGGGAAGTATTTTGACAACCATGAAGGCTGATGTGAAGTTTAATATGAGTCTTTGGACTGTAGGAAACAGATTATGTTTGGTTATTTGTAGTCTCAAAAGTGCATTCTACCACTGAAGAGGATATTTACAATATTCTGGTTTTGAAATAATGTTTTATACCAGCACTCGGGAGCCAGCAGCAGCGAGGAGAGGAGGGATCCAGGCACGTGTCCCACACGCACTTGTGTCCCCTTACCAGACCCGAGACGGAGGCGGACACAGCAGCAGCACAGCCAGCAGCGGGGCAGCAGCAGCTGATCCCCCTAAGGTAAGTGGGCAGGGGGACCAGACACAGCTGAGCCGGATCCATAGGGGAAGCCCCCTGGATCCCTCTTAGCTGAGCCGGTAGGGAGCCACGCACCCGAGCTGTGCTGCGCAAACAGGTGCATTTGCATTGGCGTTCGTGTTGGCGGGTGAGCAGGAAGGGCCAGGAGGGAGACTCCTACTAGGACAGGGCAAAGGCTCTGCACTAAGTTAAAAAAAGCAGCAACTCCTATGATGGTGTTGACACGGAGTGTTGCCAGGGCCCCTGCCCAGGGGGAGCAGCCTACCCGGGATTTGTCTGAGGCCTCCACCCAGACAGAGCCCATGGGGGAGCTGGCATTCCTCCCACCCCCTTGGCCTGTGGGGGCTGTCCACCAAGGCCAGGGGGGGCAGGGATTGGAGACCCCCACACCTGTCCTGCAGGCACCTGCCTTAGGGCCCTGACGGCGCAGGTGAGGGAGCTCCAGGAGGAGGTTAGCAGGCTGAGGGGAATCAGGGAGGTGGAGGAAGAAACTGATGGCTATTTTCTTTCCCTGCAGGGCCACACACCCAAGGAAGAAGCACCTCGGGAGGTGCCCTCCACTGCAGAGTGGCAGACGGTCACCTCCAGAACAAGGGCTGCTCGTAACACAGCAGTGCCAGTTCCTCCAGTCCGGCTGGAGAACAGGTACAAGGCCCTGGCAACACTGGAGAAGGAGGGAGAGGAGGCAACCAGAGAGAAGGCAACTCCACACTCACCATGCTCCGAACAGGCCGAAGGAGCTAAGCAGTCCCGGAGGAGAAAGCGTTGAGTGATCGTCATAGGCGACTCCATCCTGAGAGATACAGATGGCCCCATCTGTTGCCAGGACCCCTCGACACACAAGGTCTACTGCCTACCCGGAGCAAAGATTCATGACATGACCAGGATGATCCAGGCCGTGATCCAGCCCACCGATTACTACCCCATGGTCCTAATCCATGTGGGTACTAATGATGCAGCCAGGAGAAGCCCTGATCACCTGATGGTGGCCTACCACGCTCTGGGGGGCGTGCTGAAGGAGATAGGTGCACAGATGGTATTCTCTTCTGTTCTACTAGAGAGCGGACGTGGAAGACGGCATGAGACATGCATCGCAAAGACCAACTGGCAGCTTTGGGAATGGTGTCTTGAGACAGGCTTTGGTTTCCTTGACAACAACCCGCACATTATGAAGAGAGACATGCTCGGGTGGGATGGGCTCCACTTTCCCCTAAAGGTAAGCATGTGTTCTCTTCTAGGTTGGCGGATCTCCTCCGGCAGGCTTTAAACTAGGCTTGTCAGGGGAAGGGAAAGACGAGGGAGGAGGAATCGTCGGACTGCCAGACCAAGCAGCACTCACAAGTACAGCCCAGCCTAGACCGACAAGCAGAACATATACACAGGTAAGCAACAGGGGCCAGTGCACACATCCACAGGAAGCCTCAAATGCCTGTACACAAACGCTCGTAGTATGGGAAACAAGCAAGAGGAACTTGCCCTCCTGCTAGCTAACATCAACCCAGACATAGTGGGGCTCACTGAAATGTGGTGGGACCCAACACATGACTGGGCTGCGAATATCAAGGGCTATAGGCTGTACGGGAGGGACAGGACAGGGAGGAAAGGCAGGGGTGTAGCGTTCTACATTAAGGAGGAATACACATCCTCACCAGGTAGCACAGAGTCAGAGGAGGGGCACACGGATGTGCTCTGGGTTAGAATACAAGGCAGTCGAGGGGAAAGAGACTTAACGGTGGGCGTCTACTACAGACTACCCAACCAAGGGGAAGAGCTAAACCAGGAATTCTTAAGTCAGCTTACAGATGTAGTTAGGTCAAAGGACATGGTCATCATGGGTGACCTGAACTTGCCAGACATCTGCTGGGAAGAGCAGTCAGCCAGGTCTGACCACTCACGTAGGTTCCTAGCCCAAATGCAGGACCTTTGTCTAACCCAGGAGGTGCACAGCTCCACCAGGTGAGACGCCTTGTTGGACCTGGTGCTGGCCATCGGTGACGACCTGGTGAGGGGGCTGCAGGTGCTCGACCACCTGGGCGACAGCGATCATCGCCTGAGGGAATTCACCATCCAGCACAAGCTGGCAAAGGCCTGCAGCAAGGCAGCAGCCCTAGATTTCAGGAGGGTGGACTTCAACGAACTAAGGAGAATAGTCGGG